TCTTCCCCATAATTACGTTTCTCCTCTCGCGCAGAGGCTTCTACAATGTTAGGTAGCCAAGAAGTATTACGAGGGGGATAATTTAATCTTCCTCAGTCCTTTTAGTTTTTCGTACACACAAAGGTTGTAATGCTGCTAGGGAACGTGCACTAATTTTTGGTAGGTCACGTTCTGGATGCCAAAAGGATTCGTGTACCTGCCAAACATCAATTAATGACTAGTTGTATACCGATCAGGGGCAAATATTACGTGAGCAAATTGTTTATATGAAGTTTCTCCTATGTTCATTGGCAAAAAGTTATCATCTTCGACCCCCCTCCCTAACATGTACTAGAAATTTGTTTTATTTTTTCTTAGAACCTTGTATAGAGCACAAAACATTGAATTAAATTTCATATGTGTAATTTCTATCAAACATTTCTAATTTTCACAAGTTAAAGATATTAATTATTTTAACCTTTTAACCTCCATATTAAAGCTTCAAAGTTTTATATTTATTTACTCTATAAGCCATTTCGGGTAGCAATTTTCACAATTGTACAAGTTTCGTCAAAACAAATTCAAAAAGCCGGGAACACTTTTTGTCTCATACGCGTAGGTTATGCCAGAAAAAATTCATCGCACTTTACGTTGTTCTCATATAACTCAATGCATCGACATGGTCTATAGCGAGGAAATAAGTTTCACTCTAAAAATCAGAATTATTCTGCCACCTAATAACTGGGACAGACGCGATATGTTGTTGTGTGTGATGTACACTTACAAGCACTACCCAACCACACATGTCAGGAGCTTAGAGCTTGTCCCGCCCGTGGGAGATACCTGGGGAAATCGCCAATCCGGCGTATGTCGGCGCCGGATCTTGCCATCCCGCGGGGGGAGAACACCGCCACCTCCAACGAGAAAAGCATGCACTACACTTAATGACCTCAGCAGTTGACGCGCCCGGAATCACTAACCAATCAATTAATAAATTGCTGTGTGTGTGTGTCGTGTTGCAGCGGCCGTGTCGCTGGCGGGCGCCTCGTTCGTGGGGCCGACCTTCTCCAAGGAGCCGCCGGCGCGCGTGGACTTCGCCAACGAGACCGGCGCGCGCGTCGACTGCACGGCGGACGGGGACCCGCCGCCGGCCATCGGCTGGGTGCTGGCGGACGGCAAGCCCGTGGAGGCCGTGACGCGTACCCGGGAGCTGCTGGCCAACGGCTCCCTCTACTTCCACCCGTTCCACCCCAGCGCCTACCGCCACGACGTGCACGCCGCCACCTACCGCTGCGTCGCCACCAACAGCGTCGGCCGCGTGCTCAGCCGCGACGTCCGCGTGCGTGCCGGTGAGTGCCGCTCTACGTGCGCGTGGCGCGCAGGCTGCAAATCCCTTGCCCTGTGCGTGTGCATGCCGAGGAAATTACAATGAAAACTCTGGATAACTACATTCGAGGGACAAAGAACATAGCTTTGGTCTAGTGCTTTCCTTCTGTGAAAAGAGTGTAACAAAGTAGATGGCTTATAAGATAAACAAACCAAATATAAGGAAAGTTTACGTTTTAGGGAGTTTTTCTGTAGTAACCAAGTTTGTAATAGAGAGTTTAGAGTGATTTTCACCATAAGTTATGATTCTGGTTTTCACACACTATAAAATTCGTACTATTTAGGCCTCTGGTTAATAATTTGTTAATTAATTGTCATGCGTGAATAATGGAAACAAAGGTATTAAACTCAAACACATTAAAACATGAAATGAAACGGCATGTCGGATTATTCCTGGACAGACGATCACTGCTGTTGATTACATTAGGGTTACGTCTTTTTAACTTTGGTTCAAAATATCAATTTTCCGGATGTTGGATTTGATGAATATTTTTCTTCATTTTACTTTTTTGATGTTACGTTAGTTTGTTTATATAAAATCTTTCGATTCAAATCGGAAGTAGAATCGGCTTGAGAGAAATGGACAATTAATTTGAGAGCAACTACAAAGTGGCGTCCCATCACAGAAGAAATGAATGTAAATGAACCCTATTGACGGTTTAGACGCCAATATCCAAAGGCGGACGTACGGACGGACAGACGGAGACAGAAGCTTTGCCGTAACATATGTTTAGGTACCTGAAAGTGACAAAACGTGGAGTCTGACTCCACAATGTATTAATTGGATAATTTACTACGTATGGGAAACACGAATTATACACTTTTTTGGTATCAAAGTCCCACAATACAAGTTTTTCTGTAAAAAATTGCCACTGCTTTCTCATTACTACGTAAGTAGTTCGTATTAACTGAGAATGTAAAACTACACAAATACAATTTTTTCGTGTTCTAAGGGCTTCGTGTAAAGAACCTCAGAAATTAAAATATCCTTTTAAAATTATAGTAATTGCGACATCACTAAGGTAGATATGAGAATATTCACATTGTGTACGTAAGCTTATTAAGAATATTCACATTGGTGAAAATCTTGTGTAGAGGCTAGTGGTCTTTGACGGGCAGGCGACGCACAGAAAATGGTAGATAAAAGTCAAAAATACGCATAGGTATAACAAGCATTTTTCTTGCATCATTACAATTCTTTCTCTGTGAGGATTGTAATAGAAGTAAAAAACGATTTTATGACATAAAAACCAAATTTGCTTGCAATAAAACGTAAAACTGTAAGGGTATTATGAAGAAATATCTGAATCTCGCAATCGTGAACTGGTTTTGCGAGTAACATTTATATCGTCAAATATAGTTAAATATCTGAATATTACAATTATTTTTTACTAATGTTTTTTCTTTAAACGCAGATATTTCAATTAATATATCCGAATAAATCCAAAAGAGAATTTTAAAATCAATTGAAAGAGCTTTAGAAAGGGAGGCTACGTTTGCGACAGAAACTAATTCACTACCATCTGGATCTTGTGTCCCAATTCCCCGGCTGGAGAGAGGGACTGTAAATTATTGCGAGACTGCTGCATCAAGCGCAGAGCATCGTGCCAACGGCATCAGAGACGCAATTCATTTCCCTGCAACACTACTGAAATGCTCGTAATCGTTCAACGTATAATTAAAAACTCAAACCCATCAACCTCGCATCGTAGTAAAGAAGCTGACATACTGTATATCCTACAAATATTTTGAAAATAAAACTCAACGCCTGATAATTTTTAAGTTATCGACTTCAAAACTTTCTGAATCTCAATATTTTTTCTTCTTATGCAACTGAAAAATGTCCTTTTGTAAAACTATCGTAAGACTGATCCTTGGAAATGCTTGTCTCAAATATACGTCTGTGTCATAGCAATCAATGAATTGACAGATGTTGCGAACTCCTTTTTTAAGATCAAACACGAAGTTCAATATTTATTTACGTATACCAAATTTTAACGAAAATCCGACGAATGATTTTAAATTTGCTGGGAAATATGAATATTTATTTATAAGAGTCAGTCCATGTAGGAAGTGTGCACAAAAAACCACCCCGATTCCAATAGTAAGCCGGCTTCAGTGCTATCCGTTTGTTTTTGTTTGTCTTCACAAGGGTATGTGTGCACGTACAGATATGCCGAGCTCAGAGGCTTCAAAAACAAAAAAGTATACAAACGTTAAACTGTGTACCTTGAAATAGTAATAAACCGAAGATATGAAAAATTAAGCTTCAAAATTAAATAATCTTGTTATTACTGAAATTGAGATAATAAGATATGTATTCATTTACAAAAAGTTATACTATATTACGGCTGTAATAGAAATCTGATCAATACAGGAAACTCGAAGTAATGTTTAAACGTGTGTAAATCTTGGCAATAATTGAATGATCTAGATATGCTGAATGATGTCTTGTGGATTAAACAATTTATTTTCTCTCCTTTCCCTATTTACTCACACACGTACCATCAATTAAACTCGCCATACTCAAACAATTTCAATAACTCCATAAACAAACTTTGAAAGGAAGTTATTTGGTACACTGCGCATTGTTAGATTTAAATATAGTGACTTATAACAGACCATTAGCTGTGCCGCGGTTACCCCATCGGGAGCATCAATACCTAAACGAAGAGTCGTAAAGAAGCTCCCGTGTGTATAACTGCATCCATCTTATGATCTGTCATAAGTCACAACGTTTAAATCGAAAAATAGCCTCCGGTTGGGCTGCTGTTGCAAGCAATTTGAAGATAATTGCACTGATAATAAACAGTGTTAGTTTGTTCATGTATAAAGGAACTGTGCCCACTCAGAATATTCGGCAAACTACAGATAGTAGAAGATCGATTATTACAAATCTCATTCACTACACGCTAAGCACCTACATTCAATCTAAACAAAGGTTTGTCCCAACCCAATATGTAGAGTATACTTTGATTTAGGGCTGTGTATTTGTTTTATTTATCCCTCTTGTCTGTGAGAATTAACGTATTTAATGGAATTCAGGATCCCAACTTTTTCTTCATTTCCGAACAAGATTTACTATAATATACCTCAATGAGCATCGCTGAAACACTAAAGATTTTGATAACACGTATTGTAAAATGTTCTGAGAAAAAATGGAGTAAAATGCTGCGAGATCCTTTATCCACGTCAAATATCAATCAAACATCTTTACCTTTATCACAATCACAAATATTGTATTGCTCTGTTCTTTTACTAGACTTTTGTTAAATAAAATATATCTCCCAATTAAACATATTTTTGAAAAGAAGGCATATGCTTACTTTTATTAAAAATAGTTTCACAATACTGAATGTACAATACAATTACTGAATGCATTTAGGCAGGCATAGATCTCTTTTAAATGTTTATCAAAAGTTTTATTTACGTAATAAACGATTAATATAAGTCTTTCATGTTATTTTACGAAACCCACATTAAATATTGAGCGTGTAAAGACAAAACAAATGGAAAAAGAAGAATAACAAGAAATTTTTGCCTTACTTAAATTTGCACATTGAGACTTTTGAGCGTAAGTACGAAGTTCACATTATGTTATTGCAAGAAAATCGTAAATGATGTGAAAAACTTACCATCGCAGTATAGCTCAATCCATTGCTATCATTTTGGCCATCACAGAAATGTGCCTCTGAAACAAATAAATATATAATAAAAATATATAGTACAATATTATGATAATAGCGAAAAAGAAGGGGAAAATTTGAATTGAGGAAACATTTGAAGAACTCTTGGTTAATTTTATTTAATTTTGAAACTTCTCATTAGCAGTCTGAGATGTTGGCAACACAACCCGTAATGTTGGTCAGCTGTAGCCTTGCTCTTCGTTGGTATTTTGTTTGAAAGCAAGAAACATAGTTTTTTATAATTGTTTGTAAGAGTTCAATATGTAAAAAAATATATTGTTTCCGTATATTTTTTTAAAAATTGTTACATTTTAAAATAATATTATAGATAATAGTGTTTTTCCAATAAGAATTCCCAGGGTTTTTTGTCGCAGTCTACCACAACAACCTATAGTGCAAAGAGTGATTCAACACATAACAAGTCATTGTGTTCATGTGACCTACGCCTACTGATACGCAGACACTCCATACCAAAGAAGGAATCAATCTATAATTTTAGTACCTGTGCACCCACCTCCTACAGCATACCCTTGGAACCAGTTGTGATTCCCCAGTACATATTTACGCTTATAACTGATACAGGTCAAGTAAATGTAATGTTGCATATTTGTCTTCAAGTATAACCCACCGTTTCTCCTACTAATAGAAAAATCAGTTTTTACGTAATATCGGGCATTTTTACGATTTTCGCTATAACTATGACTTTTATATTACTAAGTTCTACAATACTCAGTCTTTTTTCATAAATCCTGCAAGATAGATCATTAAATTATAGCTTTATTGGAGTATTTAGTGTCTTGTGATAAGGAATATATAAATTTCTTTGTTTTTCTAGACAATCATTGAAAAAAGGCACTACTTTTCACTGAATTTTTATTTTTCTTGCTCAAATTATAAGAAACAATTCTTTTTCTCTACTACATAGTACTATCGGTACTACAACAGTACTTATTTTCCGGTTCTATTTGTAATGACTTCGTAATATTGTTGTACTACTTTAACCAGCAAAGGTGTCTCCAACCAGCAAAGATATTCACGACTTGGAATCGATTAATATTTCAGTTTTATCACGCCATTCACGCAATACCCGTACCATCAGTCCGGGAATTAAAAAGAAAAACTTTCTGGGCGCTTCAAAAAGAAATTTGAAACTTTGAATTAAAAAGATTGGAAATGCAAAGACTTTACTTGTCATTATAACAACAGCTAAATTTTGAAGAAGAGATTTCGTTAAGCAAAGTTTGTATTTTCATTTTTGTAGTTAGCGTCTGAATTTAGCTCAGAGACAGCATTTCGCTGTCCCTGCAGGGACTCTGATCGGGAGGCCCTAGGGTTCAAGTCCCGACGGTGCTGGAGTTTCGACATTAGCTGCATATCTAAATCGAATTAAGTCACTGTCTGGGGGAGAAATCTACCGTCTGGGTGTTCTGATATACTTTTCCGTGGTTGCTCCGTTCAATACCACACGAACGCTCGAGCATTACTCTGGCCAAAAAAAAAAAGAAAAAAAGAAAAAAAGAAAAAAAAGAAAAAAAAGAAAAGAAAAACGAACTGCGAAAACAAACAACCGATTTTACCTTGCAATTCTCTCCCCTTATTCTCACACGCTTATTTTTGCACTACACTACAATACATGTTAGACAAGCACTCGTTTGTTCCATAGCTTGTCCCGGTTGGACCGTTACCCTGCTAGGGGATATATCTATACGAAGAATATACAAAGGAAAAAATATTTTTTCGCTTTAGTTACAACGTAAGTCATTTCACGAGGAAAAAAACACTCAACATCTTTTCCTCAATTCAATAAACAAATGTTTCTAATGCCATTTTATTGAGAAACGCTTGGATAGTGCACAGCAGTTTCATGACGATTTTACTTCTACAATTGTGTTGAAGTTATGAGAATAGTTGTCGAATTATTGTCGAAATATTTTTTTAAGTTACAAACGTTGCAAAATGAAAATTCAGAAATATATTGAATGGGAGCGAATATTACGATTGCTCTGAGCCGTGATACGGCCTTGCCATTGCACCCAACCAGAGGTCGCCAGGACCGTAATCCTATGCGAAGTATATGTTTAAGCGAAAACCCCGACAAAATACTAAATTTTCGTACGTTTGTGTCTTCACAAATATTATGAGTTAGAAGACATTCGAGTACAAGATTTAATTACAGCTGTAAGGGGTTTATTAAATTATATAAGATTAGATTACTGATTAGTTTATATGTGCCGACTTGGACCACGCGTACATTCACCATTCATTTATCGGGGCTCAGAAACATTATCTCGGTAGTAGGTACATGTAATTTTTATCAGGGGATCAGCATTTAGTTGGATCCTATTTTTATCCTGCAGGTTTGTTAGCCCCGGGGTATGGAAGATGAAATGATTATGATAGTAAGGGGTGAGAGAACGACTCACACATACAGACAAACAAGAAATACACCCAGAACCGAGGAGAGACTCGAACACGAGATCTTATCGTCCGAGACTGCTCCGGCACTACTACCTTCGCGATCTCGGTCGTCTGCACAAGTAAGCTTCCGCGGTTTGATTCCATAAATTCTTGGCTATCCGGGAGACGCTGCGTCGTTAGCTCAGAGGCCGACGACGTGGCGTGTCCCGGACAGCCAAGAATTTATGATCTCGGTCATCTGATAGACTTGAGTAAATTTTTATACTGATAGATGAAAATAAATTAATTTATGGAATATAATAATGGTATTATGAATTATTATCTATTGCAACACTCAGCGAGTTCGAGAAAAAAACGCTGAAACATTAAAACTATGATGTTCATGTTGTTCGGAGTAAAAAAAAATCTTCTATAAACACCCACACCCACAGTCATTTATGTGCTTACCTCATCAGACTTCTTTTAAAAATTGCAACGTGCATTTCATATTAAATTGCCGAGAATGGAGAGATACGATGAAAACGCAGACATGTTTGTCGTTTTTGTAATGGCAGTTTAGAAAGAGCAGTATATGAACATCACCGACGATTTTCTAACCGTATTGTGTTCTATAAAAGCGGATGAATTCAAACATTCAGAAGGTTGCAAGAAAGTGGTTCATTACTTCTGATCTTGAAATGCGGCCATTGCCCAAGTTCAGAAGAAGCAAGTGACCGCGTGAGAATTTATTCCCAAGCAAGGTCATTCAAAGACTTCCTCTGACTAATATGCAACACGTGAAAATCAATTCCAAGTGGAATTTCCTATAAATATTCGGTGTACAATTCTCGGAAATCGAATCACAATATCTTACTGGTTTGATGAAACGTTTAGTAGAGATCACGGCTATCGAGGCCCGCAACCGGTAGTTTATTAGACAAATATGCTTCAAATTGTCGCCACATTTTTATTTTCGAAGTTTCGCTGTTTCTTCCTTTTTTGTTTTAAGATCGCATCAACATCTAGGTCATTAGTGACCACTATTGGTTTTAAAGTTATGGTTACTGTGAATAGATGACATGATACGGTAAGGATGGGACTTAAATGACGAATACAAATACAACCATGCCCGAGGCGGGACTCAAACCCGCGATCACTACGGTACTACTGCCTTAGCGACCTCGGCCATCGAATCGTCTGTTTCCTCCGTGAGCACCTGTATACAGTATATTTTGTTAAACAACAACCTAAATTGCCTCGTGCCTGAAGGGTCGCGAGTGCCAATTCTGCCCGGGGCATGGGTGTATGTGTGAGTCCGTGTACGAGTGTGTGAGTTCTGTTACCGTTGACTCCAATGTTACTAATTCCAATTGTCGCTATATGACTTTTGTAGTTGAAAAGCGACATTAAATAAGTAACAAACTATGTAAATTGATATCACCATAAAATACTGGCAGCGAAACATTTGAAAACAATACATTACAAAACAATCATATTTTTAAAGGTTTTCGTTAATAGGTTCTCTAAAAGAGTATCGTTTATAAACATCTACCGACTTTTTCAAAATTACATGAGTGATAACAGGGTGAAGTGATTGTGAAAAAATATGTGGCCTTATGCATAGTTAGTATATATTCACTTATTGAAGCCAAAATTAAATTATAGAAAATATGTATTTATAAATGCCTTTAATTGACACGTCTATTTTGGACAAACATGTCAAAATTCTATTTATTTAATGAAAACAATCACGATGGTAAACCACTCCGAAATCTTCTGTTCAATATATTCAACATTTCTTTGTTGCTACCATTTATTTCAACGTATAGGACGTATTAGAATAAAAATAAAACTTTAAACCATCTTTTTAGCTGGAGTCATATATTGAATAGCAAGATATTTATGCATTTAAACATGAATGAATAGAGAATTCCAAAATATTAATTACAGGTTTGTGATATATACCTAAGACATGCTTCTATTTTGAATTTTCTTTGCGTCCACAATGAACCCGGTTCTACTGATAAATATGTAGTGTAAACTTTATAACGAATCTTAGAGGCTGAGGCTTTTCTTTCTTTATGGTGAATTTTTGCGTTATGGAAAAAGTGGATCAATGCACAAATTAAAAATTAAATAAACCAAAGTCACGTAATGTCTTAACCGTTTGGAGTTTGTTCTGTAAGACATTTAAATATTGAGAGTTGACATTATTTACAATAACTTCAGGAATGTTAAATTTAGTTATTACAATGTAGAATGGAGATCCATACCGTAGTCAAATGGAATATTTGTACATTAAATGTATATTGATAAGTAATTCACGATAATTAATCCGGTTCAGTAGGATGACTAAAAATCAAATTCAATAGATCATTCTGCAGGCGAGTTCTCCCCTCTCCCCACAGCCATGTTTACACCTTGCACTATAACTACAGCGCCCTGTGAAAAATGGGTTTTTAAGAGACATATAACCATTAGCGCATGCATAAACGCCTGGTAAATATAAAAAATACAAAACAATAACGTGAAAAGCGAAAAAGATTGTACTGATTGCAGTAAACAATCTGGGTATACATAAAAAAGTGTATTCATTTATCGACATGCA